ACCTGTCTAGGTCTGATTGCAGCCTATTCCTCCCTTTTAGTGTGCCCACATTCCCCCACATCTTAGTGTCATCAACAAATTTGAACAGGGTGCTTTTTACACCCTTGTCCAAGTCACTGATGATGATGTTGAACAGTGCGGGCCTGAGGACTGAGCCCTGGGGACCCCACTGCCCACATCCCTCCAGGTCGAAAATAACCTATCCACCACCACTTTGGGTGCGGCCCTCCAGGCAGTTGGAGACCCATTTGACTATGTAGGTGTCGACACCACAGTCCCCCAGTTTTTTAATGAGAATGGGGTGAGAGACAGTGTCGAAGGCCTTCCTAAAGTTCAGAAAGGCTATGTCCACTGCTACCCCTGCATCTAAGGATTTGGTGACCTGGTCATAGCAGGCCATCAGGTTGGTCTGACAGGACCTGCCACTAATGAACCTGTGTTGGTTGCCCCTAAGCAGAACCTCCCCTGCTGGCCCCTCGTGGACATGTGCCAGGATAATTCTCTCAAAAAGCTTACCCAGGATTGAGGTAAGACTAACTGGCCTATAGTTTTCCGGGTCCTTCTTCCTCCTTTTTTTGAAGATGGGAACCACATTGGCTCCTCTTCCAGCCCTCTGGTACCACACCAGAGCACCACAAGTGCTTGTAAAGCCGTGCCAGGGGTCCCGCAATGACCTCAGATCTATATATATAACTACTGCTACCATTAAATAGTTGCTTTAAAACTATGTTTAGGGGGAAATTTTTAAATGGACAAAGAAGTCATGACTTGACACATCCTATTTCATGCCAGTGATTTTCTTTATTGCCTTGTGTTTTCCATTGAAATGTTCTTGGTGACAATTCATTTTTTTTAGTCAGTTTATCATCACGCCGACTATGAAATAGCAACAACAAGCATTTTAGTAAGAGACCTGAAAGTTTTGCTTAGTTTCTGTAGCTTCCATCCTTCAAAAATGGTACTTTGTAACTTTCTGCCTCAGTAAAGAGCTCTAGCTCACAGCAGAGGTCCCTGTGCCTGCCATGTTGTAGTACACTAGAAGAGACCCTTTCTGTGTTTTTCTTTAGTAGAAATCTATTATTGTAAAATGTCTGGCTGAGGAAGACACTATCTTGATCTAAACTGATATGGAGGGTCCCATACTCACAGCTCAAAATGGAGTAGCGCTAAATGTAAACACAGAAGGAAAGGGAAGTTTCTCATGGGTGCTGTATTTTTCCTGTCTTTCTTCTCCAGCCTGAAGGCTCTAGTGGAAGGATACAAGCAGTGGTCATCCAGTGCCCCAAACCTTGGGAAGGTCCAGAGAACAGCAGCTGCCTTTCCAGGATTCACGAGCCTGGCTGAGATGGGTAAGAACGAGCCACCTTCGCCACTGCCTCTGCACACATTTGAGTGAGCCTCTCTGTTTCTCCCCAGGATTTCTTCATTTTGGTGACTTTTCTATTTCACTGTATTTCTATAAGTAGCTTTCCTTCTCCTTTTGGATATTCTGTATGTGTTCATCCCTTACTTTCTGCTACTGCTGCTCACAGAGTCTCTCCAAACCTCTCAGCTGTCATGCTGTTCTCTGTGGAAGCTCTGAACTTCTTACACTTAGTGTGATCTTGCCTGGTAAAAATATTGATAATTGATGCTGGAATTCTGGAATTGATATGGGAGCATGGCAGCATGGGGACTGGCTATACCTTTACTTACCAGAAATATTGTAGGAGGGCTTCTTATCTGTTTCTCCACCTTTTCTGGCCATGTCCTTATGTGTTGTTCTGTTCCAGCTGGGATGAGAATTATGTGACTCATCTGGTCTTCATTTTTGCAGTGATTTTTAGTTTGCATCAGCTTTGAGGTTTAAATCCAGCTACATGCCATCTTCGATTATCTACTTTAGAGAGAAGAAACTATTGGCATTTTGCTATGGTTGTACAATTGGCGCTTTAGATGAGATTGCAATGCATACAAAGGAGAAAGAATCAGAGCAAAAACATAATTTATGTTTATAAGACATTTTGTAATTATCCCGTATTCTTCAGTGAAAAAGTTATGCCAGTCAAATACATTTCCCATTTGCTTTGCAGAAGATGAAGACAGCGAATGTGCTAATGGAGAGAGCAAAGTGCACCACTCGCCTGGGCCCAGCCCATCATACCTCTGCATCCCATTCCAGAAGAATGAAGACTGGGATGGCCCATCTAGTGATGCCAATGAGGAATCCACACCTGTGAACTCTGCCACAAGCACCCCCCAGCTCACCCCCACAAACAGCCTCAAACGGGGTGGCTCTCAGCATAAGCGGTATGAGGTTGCCTTGCTTGGCTGTGGGGCAGTGCTGGCTGCTGCAGGGCTAGGCTTTGACCTGCTGGAAGCAGGCAAGTGTCAGTTGCTGACTGAGGAGGAACCAGAACCACTCAAGGAGGAGAAGAAGAAGCGGGAAAGCATTTTCCAGCGGGCTGGACGTCCACGCAGGAGCACCAGCCCACCTTCCCGGAAGCTGTTCAAGAAGGATGAGCCCATGTTATTGCTGGGCGAGCCATCCACCTCCCTGACCCTTCTTTCCCTGTCTTCTATTTCTGAATGTAACTCTACCCGGTCCCTACTGCGTTCAGACAGTGATGAGATTGTGGTATATGAAATGCCTGTCAGCCCTGTGACAGTCAAGGCTCCTTTACCAGTAATTAGCAACCCACTGGTCAATGTCCAGATTGAGAGGTTCAAGCAAGACCGTAACCAATCTCTGACTCCAACGCATGTGACTCTTTCTTCCCATACCCAGCAAGGACACAGGCGGACCCCCTCTGATGGAGCCATCAGAGCAGCTGGACTGGTTGCCAATGGGTGCCCTGCCAATGGATGCCCTTCCAGTAACTGTTTAACAGGAGCATTGGGAGTAGGTAAGTTTCTTATATTTTTCTTTGCTATCATTAGGATAAGTGCCAGACAAAGCAAGCAAATTAATATTCTGTTAGTACAGCACCTAGCACAATGGCTGGTCCATGTCAAGGACCCGTAAGTGTAATCTTTACATAAAAAATTAATTGAAATACAGTGATTGGTTCCTGTGCAATATTGCCACTGACTCCTTATGAGACCTTGGGGAAGTTGTATGAGTTCTCTGCATCTTAGCATGCTGTTTTTAGGCAAAAAGTAGATGGCAAAGAAATGTTTCTCGTATTTGTTCCCAAGGATTCCACTTCTGCCACAAGTGTTCAGTTATCTCACTCTTGCACCTTCAGTCCAACCTTTAGTCTAGAACAGTGGTGCCCAACCTTTCTGCCCAGCAGGACCGATTGGTAGTACTCGGTCTGTCCATGTGCCAGATCCAGCTTGTGCTCCTGATCGAGTGTGGGCACCATCTGGCTGTACAGAGGTTGGGGGTGAGGGGGATGCAGGCTGGCCTCAACACAGCCCTGCAGGAGAATTGAGCGTGGCCTGGCCCTTTGGAGAGGAAAGGAAAGGGGGCATGGCCTGGCATGGGGTGGGAAAGGGGATGTGGCTAGGCCCCAACCTGGCCCCACATGAGGGGAAGGGGGCATGGCCCAGCACCAGTGGGAGGGAAGGAGGCATGGCTCAGCCCTGCAGGGGAAGGAGATATGGCCCATCTCTGCTGGGGAAGGAGGCATGGCCCAGCCCCAACCCCACAGGGAGGGAAGGGATGTGGCCCAGTCCTGTGGGGGAAGGGGTGTTTTGGCCAGTCTCTAACTGGCCCTGCAAGGGAAGTGGCATGGCTAGGACCCAACAGGAGTAAAGAAGGCATGTCCAGGATCCAACCCAGCCCCGCAGGGGGAAGGGAGCATGGCCCAAGCCCAACAGGAGGGAAGAGGGCATGGCTTGGCCCTGCAAGGAAGGGGGCATGGTTAGGCCCCAACTCAGCCCCACAAGGAGGGAAGGGGAGGCATGGGCGGGCCCTGATCCAGAAGCAGGACCATGGCTCAATCCCATGGGGGAAGGAGGCATAGCGTGACTCTGACCTGTCATGCAGGTATTCGGGTTTGGGGATTTGGCAGGGGGGAGGGTGGCCATAATTATTGACATCACTCCCCTGCTGCCAAATATTTTGACCTATGGGGAGCCCTGCAGGCCAGATGCAGTGACTTTGTGGGCCACAGGTTGAACATCCCTAGTCTAGAATCCAGAGAAGAACAGGCCTGAAGCTGTTTTTGAAATGTGCCAATTCCACTTCTATATCTTCATTGGTCAGAAGGATCATACTGAGCATTGCAAGATTTTCTGTTCCTCCAGTCCTTCATTGGCCTCCACAATATACCCAAAATATCAGTTCAGGAAGAAAGACTAGGATTGAGAGTTGTACTCTGATTTAATGACTGATAACTCAATCTTATGCTGGGGCACAATGAATACATCTATAACATAGCACTCCATGCTGGTGTAACTTATAGAAATCCAGTATGCAGTTGCCCCTGGAAGAATTCAAAGGTGAAATTAGACTTTCTGGGCTCTTTTACACGTGCTCCGACACATTTTGATTAGAAGGTCCTAATCACGTGTATAGGTGTCCTGTGTTTGCATTTTTACTCCTAATCAGAATGCTCAAGCATGCTGAAGTGTTCCTGCATTTCAAAATGGCAGGGGGAGCACTTTAACTACAGCTCATTGAATGAGCTTTAGTTATAGCACCCCTACCACCATTTTGAAAGGGAGAGTGTTAAATACACGAGACACTGCAGGCGTTTTAATTAGAGCAGCTCCTGAGAGCTGCTGTAATTTAAACACCCCACTCCCCACACCAGAGCATGTGTATAGGTGCCCTGTGTTTCCATTTTTACTCTAGGGTAACCCTTGGCTCTGCAAAAAGGCATTTTCAATGTTTCTGCCATCTAGTGGTCAGGTTTTGTACTAGTGCCTACTGAAGTGGGTATCTGGGAGAGCTGATGGCTTCTCTGCTCAGAATGCCGGACTACAAAACTGCTATAAGTTATACACCAAAGTTCATGTGTTGAGGCTAAGCCCTAAGTTTTTCCTATGCAGATAGGTTAAGAGTCTGTCAGTGTGCAGTTTTTTTTCTGTTGGACTATGGTCGGTAATGAGACATGGGTTATTGCAATCATTCATGTTTATAAAAACAGTCCTTGTGGAAAATTAAAAGGTAAATTAAAAAAGAAGAAACAGATAGAGAAGCATGTGTGGATATGGAATTTTTGAATTTCTGAGATTTTAATGAATAGTGAAGTAGTCTTGGAAAGAAAAGTGTTGACTAAGGTATTGAAAGGGTTCATCAGTTAATATAAGGATACATAAGCTCCTTCTAATGCATGTGAGACACCCAGTATGATGCCTGCCTCTCTTGAGGTGATACAAGCTATTTAAAAGGAAGAGTAGCCACTTGGAAGGATCCTGGGTGTACCCCACCCATCTGTGAGACGATGGCTGCATCCTCATTACCCACCTCATTGTGTTGAACTACTCTAGGTGGATCCAACACTTATCAAATGATGTGTAACACCATTTAAATCTGCTGTTCCTATCCCTCCTTCCTTTTCAGTTGTAGGTCGTCAGACTATAGGTTCTGAAACCAAAGTCTCTGTCCATCATCACATCTTTCTAGACAACAGAAATGCACATTGGCCACTGCCCTTCAGAAATGTGGATTGGGTACTGGAGAGAAGAATGACTGCAGACATTGTGAAGGGGAGCTTCTTGTAGCCTGCACCGCACATTTTTGTACAAAGACATGTCAAACTATAAAATTTCTCTTCATTTGGTACACTGATAGGAGTATGCATTACCAGTTGGGCACCCTGTCTTTAAAACTCCTGCAACATTTTTTAATATTTTGGATTAGCTAGTTGGAGAACTCCATTTACTGATAAATAAAATCTGTTTTGGGATGCTTGGCCGTATACAACATCATTATGATGAGAGATTACATTGATTATAATCTGTAGAGAAACTGTAGAGTGAAACAGCCAAAAGTCCAGAAATGACAGAGATTACTCCCTTAACCTTTGTGTTCTGCTCATAACCTGGCAGTGAGGCAAATGCATCTCATTAGCCTGTCGCAAGCTGTCCAGAAGCCAAGAGACTGATCCCTCATTTCAAAATAATACAGCATTAAAGCTTAAAGCTCAGTGGATTCCGAATTTTGAGTGCAAACCTTCTGTTTTTAGATATTCATTTACTTTCTACATACAGTAAAATCAGATGAGTCAGAGTCATTTATTTGCTGCAACTAATTCATGTTTCTGCTGTCTTTCTCTCTTTTGGATAGGAGCATTAAAAACTCCCAGTCCAAGCCGAGATCGTAATGAGGTCCCCCGTCTGCCAGACCCCAACCTTGTCTTTCCTCCAACCCCAAGACGCTGGAATGCACAGGAGGACTCTACGCTGGAAAGACCCAAGACTTTGGAGTTCCTGCCCAGACCACGTCCTTCAGCCAATCGGCAGCGGCTTGACCCCTGGTGGTTTGTGTCACCCAGCCATGCCAGGGGTGAATCCTCTGCCAATAGTTCAAGTACTGACACCCCAAGCAATCTGGACTCCTGTTTTGCCAGTAGTAGCAGCACTGTAGAGGAGAGGCCAGGACTTCCTGCTCTGCTTCCTTTCCAGGTGGGTCTTTCTGTAGAGGAGCGAACACTGTTGGACATAGATGCTGAGGGACAGAGCCAGGACAGCACTATTCCGCTATGCAGAGGTGAACTTGACACACATAACACCGCAGCATATGAACTCAAACAAGAGTTCTGGTCTTAGCATGAAATCCATTAGGGGGCGGTAAGCCCCTTTACATTCAATTCTACTTTTTGCACTGAGAATGCACTTTGAAGACAGATGAAGTGGAGGGATGCTACTGAGATCATATCATGGTGCTGCCTCTACTGAAAATGTGTTGTCTCGTTGCCTGATTTATGTCTGAAGTTCAATGTAACTTGGCAACTCAAAGCTGCTGACTTTTGCCGTGGGGTTTTTCTGTAGTCTTCCTTGTTTTTTGTTGCAGTTTGAAACTGCAGTAAGCAAAAATTATCCAATCAAAGTCTTTGTTTATTGTCCATGTAGAACTTGATACATGCAGTATATCAGAACCCCACTATGAACTGGTATTTTGAAAACCCAAGTATTACACCACAGCAGACGCCAGTGTTTGATGTTTTCCCCAGGCTTGTCAGGAGGGACAAATGGCAAATATTTGGAGAGGTCAGCTTCACTGAAACTTATTCTTACTGCTGGGTTGCTCTAGGAATCACCACTCCCCTGCTGCAGGAGCACAAGTACCTGGCCTGTGTGCACTCACAGGCATTGATTCATGCAGACAGATACAAGATGCACCCCTGCTTTGATAGCAGTGAAGAGGGTATGGCATGGTCTATTGTCCCCACTTTCTTATTGTTTAAGATTTAGTTCCAGAGGCCTCCATCTTTCTCCACATCCAAGGTTCATATTCAAGCTCTGCCCCAACCTGGGAAGAGTGCTGAAGGACTTTCCTTCTCAAGATGTGCTGGGTTGCAGAAACAAGTTCTTGTATCTGTTGCCTTGCACTTTCCTCCCTAGCCCTTTTTTTATTTTCTCCTGTTTTACAAGGGAGTGGCCCCATGGCTCAATACCCCACACTGTTCTGATGCACAGTTTGACCCTTATTTCAAGCATGTGTAAATTGAAGGCACCGTTGTCTAATGGTTGGCTCATAGCAATGGCAATTGGAACTTCTAGGTTCTGTTTTAGTTCAGTGCCTCACCATGTAACATTGGGCAAATCATTTAACCTGTTTCTTCCTAGTTTTCCCCATTTTTAAGTAACACTGATTAATACCTACCTCACAGGCTGGGGGTTGAGGCATTTGTGATGTATACATAGTAGTTGAGTACTTGGGTGGAAGGCACTATGACTTTACTAGGGATTATAAATCATAAAACATTTATTGCTGTTAAATGGCTAAGAAGACTTCTAGCTTCATAGTAATAGAAATCCCTATCCTGGAGTAGACCACAAAACTAAGATGTGTCTATGTTTGCAATTCCCTTTATCCTTAGTGTATAAGGGACAAAAGGTTTTTTTACCACCATTTCATGAACCCTTGCTAGTAGCAAAGCTGCTTGCTCCTGTCTGTCATTGCATGCTGCATTGTTAACATCAGTGCTCTTGCGCCCATTGCTGCTACTGGGTAAATAGTTTGCAAGGATAGACAAGACCTTAGAGTTTAGGGATAAGGTATTTATTTAAAAAAAGGAACTCTGAAGTTTTGGCACTTACTGTGTTTAATGGGTACAGACTGACCTTTCCAGTTTTGCAAGCATTCCCTCTGCCTCATCTCAACTCATCTCTGTCCATCTGTGTTTTTTTTTGTTTTGGAGACTATAAAAAAAGAAACCATATAATTAATTTTAGTTACTCTGTAGAAACAAACTGAAGGTTTCTAATAGGAAGCTGTGCAAAAAGGGTAGTGACTGGAGGTTAAATTGATCCATTTTGTGATCTATCCTAAAGAAGTTACATCCATCAGAAGAGGATGAGTTGTACCCCTGAAGTATAATACCAGTCATTTAAAAAGTTGGACAGCAAAAAGTCTAGAAAGGAACATTGTCCCAAAAATCATCTATGTTGCTATCCAGGTAGATGATATAATGGGATATTGCATCTCTTAGCTATTGGCTCAACTCAGCCCAGGTTTGTAGAGAGAAAATTATTCCAGTTGATAATTGACTGGCTTTTGTGAAGTGAGCTAAAGAGTCATTGTCCAATACTTAGTAAGCCGAAGTCTATAAATGCATAGAAAACATGAGTTAATTTATTCTAATATATTCTAATGTATTGCATTGCCTCCTTATGGTGGCTAAAGTTTGAATGGGCCATGGAGAGGGAAATTCTTGTACCCCAGAAGGTAATTGCTCCTTGGTGAAGATGGTGTGCAGTTTTCTTGTAATCAAAGGTAGCCAGCACTCTCAATAGGGCATCTGTCATTAGCACTAACTGTATGATTTTACAGAAAAAGGAGTTGGGAAGGATAGATGAAGGTGCATCAAGGATCAAATCAAATGTCTTCACCCTGGAGAGTCATTTTTAACATGCTGCCACAGTGAATGCCTCATCCTAACAATGCTAGTAAGTCAAGAATGTAATCGTCAGGGCCTGCTGTCATTGGAGTCAGTGGGCACAGTTCAAGCCTGAAGGCCACAAGAAAAGGTATCTTATTTAAGCCAAGGTCCTAACTTTGTTCCTGTTCCCTAATCTTTTCATATCCCTCTCTTTCTCTCATTCTCAATTAATTACTTTCCTCTGCTAATCTGCTCTTTCTCCCACTTGCTAGTAGCTGGGGTGCCCCAGACCTCCAGGGTGTGCTTCACTGCCATTCATTAGATGCTAAAATGCTGGAAAAACACTAATCCTCAGTAATATTTCTGATCACGATTTTCTGCATTTTGCAGAGTGAGTTTGTTCTCAGTATTAAAAGTAGCAGAGTAGTACTGTATCACTGTAATAGTGTTGTTGAAGACTGAGAGAGAGAGGCAGAGCACCTTTATAGAAAACTGTTCTTATAAATATATTAGTTCTTTGGTATTTGAGTAACACACATGCTGCAGGCCAAGCAAAGGAGGGGAAAGACCACAATTAATTTCCCCTCAGCCATAAAAGAAATGATGCCAAAAGACTGGAGTAAAAAATTGTTCAGGTGTAAAATGTTATGGGGTCCAGGAAGGAGAAAAGGAAAATTTTGATGTTTCCCATAGCAACAGCGAGTGAGTGCTGCAAAGAATGTTTCCAAGAATCTCCCCCCAACTTTTTTTAATTGTCATGTAGGAATTGATTGACATTTTCAAAGCATCCTCTGTGTTTTGTTTTGTTTTTGTGAATCTCATGCACTTTTTCTCTTTCCTTACACACACACACACACACACTATTTTATAGCATTATAATATATGAAATTGGAGATGTGGGTTGCTGAATTAAGAATTAGAAGAACTCCATCACCCTGTTGTATTGCCCTGAAGTTTTTTGTTGTCCCTTGTTCAGGTTGTTCATTCCCTACACTTCAGAAGGAAGTACCAAATGCTAAGAACCACAAGAAGACAGGAAGGCAGAGGCAATCTTTACATTTTTCTTTTACCTCTCATTTTTTCTGCACAAATAAAAAACCCAATATTGTGTTAGTAAATGAAGAAAAACACTGATCCTGGTCTTACACTGTTCTAAAAATAATGGATTTCCTTCCCCATTGTAACTCACTTTTAATAATATTAAGAACTGACCACAAATTAATTGCTTGATTGCAAAATAAACATGAAGTGGGGAACATATACTCATACAAGTGTATTTGGAAGCACACACAAGTGTGTATGCACCTGCATGTGTGAAAAACAAGCAAACGCATTTCATCGTAGCAGATAATTGTCAGAGTTTATCATAAATCTTCAGCACACAGACTACCCTTTTAAATACAGACTTACAGTATTCTAGTAGAACAGGGGTGACCAATTCAAACTTTACTGAGGGTCACTTACAAGATATGCTTCCCAAGAGAGACTGCCACTAGTGAGAATGTAAGCCCGCAGCACAGTTGCAAGCGGGGAAACTAGACCGTGTCAGGGTCTGTGGAAATTTATGAATCCTCATTGCGAGGACACTGAGGTGATAAAGAGTAATTTGACTTGCTGTTTTGCTTTTTAAATCCTTTCTGTTTTTGAACAGCAACAAATGAGTGATATAATAAAGATTTATGGTGGGCCCTTGGATGGCCATGGTGGGCCATATGCTGTCCCCCACCCATACTAGAATTAATTAAAGCATGTATTGTTGCTCTAATGTTCTTCAGTGTTTGGGGTCATTACTGTACAATATTGGAGCTTGTTAGTAAGAAGAACATTTTCACAAAAGTGTAGGTGTTGGTGGGGAGGCGGGGGAGGCCATTGACATTTTCCGGCAGTCCCAAGTATCCAGCAGTCTCAGCTCTTATTTTTTCACTTTGTGTATTTTATGAAATTGGGAGACTAAATGCGGTTGATTTTAAGTGTTGTAGTAATATGCTATGTGCTGCAGTTGCAGTGTACATTAACTTCTGCCTTCTCTTGTGTTCAGCTGTTCTCAGCAGTCTTGCCAGTCCTGTGAGAGATGAGTGTGACTTTTTAGAAAACAAATTATATCTACTTTATTTTTATTTAAAAAAAAAAAAAAGTCAGTCACAGGCTGTCTATGGTTTTCTGCAGTGACCAGAAAACCATAATGCTTTCTTAGAAGCTCTGTAATAAGATTTCCCTTTTTTTCCTTCTCTGGGGAATCTTTGCCACAGCTGCTCTTGGTATGGATAAGAGAAGCTCACCTCTCAGAGAACAGGGAAGAGATTTCTCATCATCTTTTGGTCCCAAATGCATTACTTTTCTACTGAGTGTGGATTCCTTGAGCTAATTTGTGTGCTCCAAAGAGCATGTGCTGTGTGTTTTAGGTGCGTCCTGCATTTCAAGGAATTTTTTTATTTCACACACCTGTTGTCTAGGTTTTTATTTTTGAAAGGACTTACACTGTGGTTTTCAGTAGTGTGTGTAATTTTAAGCATGTCAGATCCAATACTTGCCTTGTAGATATTGTGCTTTCTTATTTACTGAACAATGCACATAATCTTCTCTGTGACTGTGGTGAGAGTTTCTCATTTCAGTGGCATGATATATATATATCCCCCATCTTCATGTGTTTATTTGTTATTATTTATTGGTATTAGGATAATCCTTTGGGGCCCAAAACAGGTATGGGGTAACTCTGCAAGCTCGTAATAGATAGCCCCTACATCTGAAGACATTTCTGAGTAGGCATTTTTCAAAAGGAAAGGGAGGTAGAAAAAACATAGAGGTGAGATAAAGGAAGATAAATTAACAAGGAAATGATCATGTTTGCTATTGTAAGAAGCAGGTGGAAGTTACCGATTGCTTTCTAATTTGTGGCAAAGCTGTATCTTTAAAGAGAGTGAGGTGGTTTTTTTGCTTTCTCATATATAGGGCTCAGTGCAAGAACCAAAAGTGGTTGGATGAAAACTGCACTAGTGAGCAACAGAGTAGTATGGGCTATAAAGCAGAGATAGAAAAACATTATATTTGGTCTCAGATATTTTGCATTATGGATTTGAATAAAACAGAATGTATGTGCTTATGTTAGGATTAAGTTGCTTTTGCCATTACTAGAGCCTCAAAATTATCATGGTTTTTAACCATGTAACTCACTTTTAATAATATTAAGAACTGACCCAAAATTAATTGCTTGATTGCAAAATAAGCATGAAGTGGGGTACATATACTCATATAAGTGTATTTGGAAACACAAGAATATGTGTGTGCATGCATATATGTAAAAAAAAAGAACTCATTTCATCACAGCAAATAATTGCCAGAGTTTATCATAAACGTTCAACACACAGAATTCTCTTTTATTACAGATTCAGCTCTTTCTGGGGGAGCTTATTACCCTCAGTCCTACCATCCGTGATGATAATTATTGCTGTTCACAATGAAAATACATAAATGTACAGGTTAAAACAATGCTAGCCGGCTAACTTCTAAACAGAACTTCACACAGCCATGAACACTTTTTCTGCGTACAATACTAGTCTCTTAATCTACCTAATGTTTTTGTCACCGTAGTATCTGAGTGCCCACATTTAGCAGGTGGCCCAGTTCAGCAACCATTAGGAAGGTATGATGTATTATCTATGCACAAAACACTGGATTTATAATGGTGGTTTGAAGTGGACTGTTGTTTAATTTCACCTATTTCAATTGCAGTTGGTGGGTCACCTGGACAAATAGGAAATGGGAATCTAAATCATGTCCACAGGGGGGACACTGTTAGGCCTGCTTCCTTTGATGCTTTGTAAAATAGTCTAATGCTAGGACATATCCCTACAACCCAGAAATGCTTTTTTAAGGTCTTGTCTACATTAGGCTGTTAGTTTCCAGTACAGCTGCACTCAGACAAACTGTGCTCCACACACTTTGCACCCATATAGCATGATTTTGCAGTGCTGTACTCATGCTAATTTTAAGCACTGGTGGCTAAGATGTGAGCAAGGACTGGCCTTGGTGTTCTCTGTATGTAGCATTTGGGAATGGTTTGCACCTCCTTTTCCATGGCTCAGCTTGTTTATCTGCAGAGATTTTAATCTTCTATTTAGGACCTTCCCAAGAACAGATTTATTTGCTTCTCATCTCGAGGCAGGAGGAAGAGGGAGCTGGGCCATAGGGGGAGGCCCAGCTATGTCCTGATGTCTCCTCAAGTCTGTGACTTTGCAGCAAGGGTCAGAATTAGTTTTTGGGATGTGCTGATATTTCTCCTAGCTCCAGTTACAAAATAAACTCCACAGACCTAAAACATCTTTGTCAGCACATGTTCAGAATAGTTGCATACATTTTCTCAGATCCTTGTGTTTTGTTTAATGGTTCCTCAAAAATATCCAAAATACCTATGACTTCTGAACATTTCTTGCTGAGGTTCCTAGGTCCCATGGGCTATATGAACTTACCTTCCTCTTCAAAGGGCTCCTTAGCTGCTTAATTCTGGCTCCTTGTTTGTGAAGAAATACAAAATATTCCCAATCTTGGTCTCTTCAGATCCGAAGTGAGCTGTTGCGCACAGTAATTTGTGTACAAGACCCTTCTTTTTCATGTGTATTTATGAGCAGCAAATAGCTAATGCTTTAAGTGTCAGCAGTGTTGCCTTTTGCATCTGAATGGTGCAGGTAATACTTCTCAGAACTTCTTTTTTGCCCCCCTGAGCTCTGCAAACACAGGTGAGATGCTGCCACATCACTTATGCCCCAGACCTATTTTCAAAGCTATCTTGGTAGCCATAACTTATAGAACATTTTTGAATGATAGGGTCTGGGGATAAAGCAGCTTCATGAAAGAGGTTAGCTAGTACACCAAGCCAACATGTGCTAGCTGAATTTGAACCACGCTTTTCCGAGTGAAAGACATTCTTCTTAAAATGGGTCCCTGCAAGAAGATATGTATAACCCCTGACATCAATAGAAACCACTGCCCCTTGGGACTGGTAGCCTTATTTAAGGGCTGAAATACATATTGCAGTTGTAATTGATCCAGATAGTAACAGTATTTCATTCTCGGGGTCGGGATGAGTATTCCAAGACAGGCCCTGGTTTGGCTGAGCATCAAGAAGACTATAGCATGCTTACCTGTGGATTTATATAGTATAGTTTATGGCAGCAGCAGGCATTTTTTCCTGTCAGAGACACCATCCCAATAACAAATCATTTGAAGTGGGGAACATCCAGGTAAAAAGCTGATTTAGAAGACAGTCATTCCTCTGATTTTTGGTTACTAACTGTCTATACAGACACAAAGGTAGTCATTGGGCCCTGATCCAATAAAACACTTAAGCACATGTTTAAATCTGTCCCCATTCAGCAAGACATTTAAGCACACACTTTAGTCTTATTGAAGTCTGTGGAAGTTAAGTGTATGCAGTAGCTTAGGGATGCAGCCAGGGACCTGGGGCACAGAGACTGGTGACTTCTAGTTGCTGCATGATTGCAGTTGCAATTGCTCCTTACTCTCCCCTCCCAGCCCCCTCCCCATGTGCCCACCCTGAAATCTGACCAGGTCTGTAGGAGACGAAAGCTCAACTTTTGGATGCCCAAATGTTTAGAAGCTTGTCCTCTTATACAGGATAGCAGTACAGGACCAGACTGCCTTGCTTTGACAAGTATAATGGTAAGGGGGCCACACATGCCCTAGGAAGGTGGCTCCTTCCTTCACTTCCTAGCTTGTTTGTGGTGATTTTAGTGACCTGCTGATACCCCTTTAGCTGCTAGTGCTTACTGTAAACAGGCTTTTCTGGAAGTGACAGTTTCTCTTGCCAGAACAGGAGATTACTTCTGTGCCAGCTGGTTGTGAGCAGTGAAGCATTGGGTGTACGCTTCTTTCTCTGTGTAAGTGTCAACGCCCTGAGACTTTGGCTCAGGTTTTTTTTCTCCCTGTGCAAAAAACACACTTGCCCTGGCTACCAAGGATAGAACTGATAAGCTCAGCAACATTCATTATCTGCTGGTCAGATGTTAATCAGGTTCTTGTGTCCCCTTTTCAGTTGCTCTGCTGCTGGTCCAGCTCCTTATTATCTGGGCTGTTGCATATTATTTCCATTCATATGTAAAGATGGGCCTGGTGCAACTGAAATGTTTTGCTTGACTTCACTGTTGAATAGCTTTATGTGTAAAGCAAAGTTTCTGTACCTTATATGTAGAGTATGCGTGTTTATGAGATGGGGGTTTGTCAGAGAAATTACTTGTCCTTTTTAAGTACTGTTTCTTCTGTGCTTTGAGACTTCATTTTCTGCTTAGCCAGGGAATATACTTCCCCCCAACTCCCCCTTTTTATGAAGAACATCTCTTCATTTTGCCTCACCTCTTGACTGCGGGTTTGCTCTTGCTTCTATTAAAGTCAACAGCAAAAATCTTAGTGACCTGATTCTGCTCTGATACAGTGCTCTGGAGTAAAGTCATTAAACTGGAGTGAACAGAACAGAATCAGGCAAAGAGATTTCAGTTCTGTAAGACTGTGCTGCTGTGTCCACCTGTTTGAGATGAGAACTTTTTTCCCCCCTCCTGTTGGAGACAATGGGAATGGAGGAACCTGGACACCCTTCTGTCTGCGGTTTGAAGACTTCACCGTGGGTTTCTCTCACACCCAGGATCTTCACTAATTTGTCACGGGGAGAGGCCTTTTGCCCAAAGTCCATAATACATTTTGCAGCAGCAAAGCAATGAAAACTACAAATGGGAATTTCCCCATAGAGTTAAATAAAATAATTGAGGCCACCAAATTTTCATTTTGTGTGTAATGATACCATATTCAATTAAGTGATTTGTGGGAGCCCTCCTTTAGCTTCTAGTCAACAGCGAGTCTAGGGGAAAATTAGCCTGGATTTATTTTTTAAACAGCTTTATTTGTGACACAGCTGTTGCCTCTGATCCTTTGGGACTTAAAAAAATAGTTAAATTATATTAATGTCTAGTTTGTTTCACTGTAGCTAACACATCAACCAATTACTCTTGTGCATAATCTACTGTATCTCTTTCCTCTGTTCCGTGTCAATGTATTATGTGCATCTTGGATTATGATTCTTTTTTGTCTTAAGTTATTTTATGTTATAGAACAATATTTAAATGAAGCAAAGAGCTGATTAAAGTTGATGAGTTATTTTGTTTTTCTCTTTGCTTTCTTTTGGATGTACTGTAAATTGTAAACCAAGGATGCCAAGCAGGCTTGGTTCAATGGCTAAAATTATTGTATTACAGTGTAATGCTGATCTAGGCCTTGTCTCAACACTAGAGCACACAGACTTGAATAAAACTGTTACAAGAGTCCTTGATTTTAGGTTTGAGTTTTTGTTTCAGTTTTTTAAATAGATTTGAATAGGCTTTTGGAATTGATGACAGTAGAAAACTGACAGTGCTGGATTGGAGCCTAGCAATGTCTGTACAAGCTCACATACATACCTCTGCCAGTACATCTCAAATATGACCTGCAGTTCTCCCTGCTGTTCTGGTTTTGGCCTCTCACAGAGCTCTGTAAATCCAATGTATTACAATCCCAACATTCAAAACTCATCTGCTAACCCAGTCTTTAGCTACCTTTTGATCAAATTGTTTAGCTGTATGGTGTTTTTACTAAAGCAAATGCAGAACTAGGCTAGGTTCATCCTACTCTTCATTCTACTTATGACCCAAGTCAAAATCTAAATCTAGCAGATGTCCAAAACTTGAAAGGCTAATGCAGCTACCCACTTTAAACAGGATGACAAATAGCCTTTTAAATTCACTTTAATAATTGTATTTTGAATTCATGCCATTTCACTGAGCCTGTCAGAAACTGCTAGTGCGCAGCAACCTTTCAAGAACCTATCTCATTTGCTATCTCATAGTGCAAGAGCCAAAGTAATGTGGTTTTGATTCCAAGTTTATGTCTTGGTCTGCAGGCTGGCAGCTTGCTCGACTGAAAGGAGGCATTTCATACAACTTTCTTCCTCAGTTTAATTCATGGAGATGCACTGATATGTCTTGTAGACAGTCCTATTTCCCAAACCCCTAAAGCAAAAGAGTATTTCCATAGTGTTAGGAGTGCAATAAAAAAGAGAACTGAAAAATCTTCAAACTATACAAATAGGGATGCGCAGTAGCCAAGTAATGCATAAGGAGATTTACTTCTTAGCTCAATAATGGAGAAGGTAGTACTGCTCACATTTTTTGTTGAAGCTGGTGGATTTTTAGACAGAAAAGTGGCTTGCGTATAAAACTGAAATGAATATAATGTATATAATGTATTATAGCCATGTATCTGCTATGAAGCACTATCAGCAGTCCGCAGGAAGAGCCTTGGACCATCATGGGAGATGTAATCCTAATAATGAATACAGATTGTAGAGAAAAATGGAGCGAGACTCACACAGACTATAGAAGCAAAAATAGGGACTGTAGCAGCAAAAATCTGAATTTTAAAAGTGAAGAAAAAAATTTGACCAGGTCTGTAGAAGACAAAAGCTATTACTGAGTGCGCACTACAGATAAAAGCCTGAGTTCAGTGGCGATACTAAGTTATGTACAGACTTAGTACCCTAGGGCAGTGCTTCTCAGCCTTTTTGATTTCACAGCCCATCTTAAGCTCCAGAACTAGAACCACTCTAGGGCTAGGTACAGACATTCAAAACCCCTAAAGCAGGATCAATCTGAGTTGCACAGTTTTCTGTAAGCAGTGTAGTTTGGATCAATGGTGAACAGAACAAACATTCACCCTTTGGTGGGAGGGGCACATTTTAGACCAGGTTCCACCATTTTTAAATCAGTCTGTGTTTACCAAACTTCTGTTCTGCTATAGACCAGTTTCCAAACCCTTATATTGGTAAAAATGTAATATCTGTACCTGGCCTAGCAGCCATGAGTACAATACTATGTTTGCAGTTGGCCAGGGGTTGTCAACCGGGGGTACACTTATCCCTGAGGGTACTTTGAAAGGTATGTGGGGGTGGGTGGGGATGGAGTGCCGCCGCTCTGCACCGCTGCCTCACAGGAGCAGGGCTGGGGCGGGGCGAAAGCAGGGCCACGCAGATGTGCACAGAAGCTGCACTGCTGCCACTTTGCCACTCGCCATGCCCCTGCTCTACATCTGGCTGCTCACAATGCCCCTCCCCCTGTTCTGCGTCTGGCCGCTTACCACTCCCTCCTCCTCCCCGCCCCCACTCCGCATCTGGCCACTTGCCAGCCCCTGCCCCCCGGGTATACACATATTAAAAAGAGGGCTGCCAGGGGTACCCTGATTAAAAAAGGTTTAAAACCCCTGCACTAGGCAATGCAATGCAGTTATCCAAGCTAGCTCTGCATACGATAGCTTCCAAACAGAAAGTAGTGTGGCTAGGATAGTGTCACTGTGCTTGGCCTAATTAGCATTATCTAAGCTTGTGAAGCATACGGAACAGCAGTGTATGAGCATAATGCTACCTGACACTGTGGAAACACTTGAAGGTGAGATCAGCTGAGATTCCCCCACCTTGTGCCCTGTCAATCCTTGCAGCTCATCTGTGGCACCACTGCAGCCCACCAACACAAAAGCATGGTCCTTGTGGGATACTTTGTGGCTAAGCAATAAATGTATTTTTGCATGTATACCAGGGAGGTGCTCCAGAGCTCAGTTCTTCCATACATGGTGCTTTGGCTATATTCTGGACAAGATTAGGAAAAGATTTTCCCTTGTTTCTTTGGTAGCTTTTACATCTTCAGAACAGCCAGCAGCTGGTGCATGCTGGACTAATGTTTTTAATTGTTCATTTAAAAGAATACCACATTCCTTTGAGAAACGCTTCAGTAGCCTTTCCAAGTCTAAGAAGATTAAGGAGAAAGAGCCTAGACTTACTCCTCTGATATACACTCAGCTAATAACATAACACTAATCTGCTTTTTAATGAAATTTTGACATGCTTAACCCTTTTTACATGTGGAGGGAGGCTAGAAAGACTATCTCAATGAAGTATCCACTGTGCTTAGGAAAAAAATAATAGTGGCATGATATGTTTCCAGAAAGATCTTGTGGCTGTGTAAGCTGATACCAGTTTTAGGGAGTTTATAGGCTTTAGAAAAGCACTGGAGTGAATTAAGCTGAACAAGTGTTACAATAGCTCAACCAAGGCTCACTCACAGGCATGGCCAGTTTAAAGTTAGGTACAAGCTAACTCTCATTTTCCCTACTGCCACAGGTAGAACTACTGTTGCAAGCAGTGATGCAAATGTCTCATTAAGAATATAGAAATCAGGACATTTATTTGAAGACAGAGTAGATTTGGACCTTACAGACTGTGGGTGTGCATGCATATATGTGTACGCATATATAAAAAGCTTTCATGGACTAGAGTTTATCTCATCAGATGCTGTGAAAGGATGTGTAAAGAGCAGTGCATAAAGCCAGTCTCAACTTCTTACAAAACTGGATATTATGCCAACAGGTCCTCTGTGAGATTTCCTTCTGGCTTCTGTTTGACTGTGAAACTCTTGTCATAGTATTCTTGGCACTTTTGGTCCTGGATAGATTGGAGAAAAGCAGAGCTAGGAAGCTAGAATCCAGAAGGTTACCTCAATATTTTCCAAGTCTGCAAGATGTTTGGTCTTACATTTTTTGGTAAGACTTTGATAAAATATTCCTTTTATCACGATGTTTTGTTCCTTCTCTGGTGTGGATTGTCTTGTCAACCAGAGCAGAAAGGTATTGGAATCTTGGAAGACGTTCCAGTAATAATGTGCTGCAGGATGAAGCAGTGAGGTCACAGAGGAAGATATGTTCCTGCATTTTTATGTATATATAATACACTTACGGGATTCTGCATTTTTGATGGAAGCTTGCTATTATGTTCCGACATGTTGAGTGCCTCTTAGAACTGCTTAATCTGGATCCTTATTATATGGCCTGTGATTTACTTCAGTTAAGTCCTTATTAATTAGTAAGGAGCAAATCCATTAACAAAATATGCAAACAGAACGCAAAAAGATGGGGTTGACTGATGGCATTCTAATTTAGGGATACATGATCCTCTTATTTAATATAACCTGAGCTCTGCTTTGTGCCTGTAGAATTGCAAAAATTGCTGTGGAATTTATCCCTCACCACAAAAGCTATTCTCTGGCTGCTTAATTTTAATTTTAAAATAAAGCATTTAGCCCATTTGTTTGGCAAGATCATTTTAAACATGTAAATGCAAACCAGTAGCGTGGCCTGAGGCTGCAGACAATCTGTACTAATAGCTCCACTAGTTAAGAGGGTTCTGTGCATCCCACTTTGAGGGCTTGTGAATTCGGAGTCCAAGGCTGTGGAATCTGTCATGTTTTGAGGGTGCTGTTGAATTCACAGTTTAGCTGCAAACTGATGTTTTGTTTTGTGTCCTTGCTTGTTGGGACCTGCCTCTGGCTTCTGGCTTTTCCTACAATTATCAGTTAATTGGATTACAAAACATGTTCCCTGCACTGTTCTTTAGAGCCAGCAGGAATCAAGGAGCTAAAGCGGTGCCCCACTTGCAGCCAAGGAGCATGAGGAGCCACAAGTGTTAACCTTGTCAATTCAGCAGTGATGCCACAGCAGCTTATGCATTTGTGGGGCAGTTGATGGGCTTAAGTCAGCCAGTGGCTCTTTTCTTCCCTGAGTGAAGTTGCCTGGGCAGCACTATGGAAACAGAAGCCAGAGTGCTGACAAACATGACCAAAACCCCATCCTCAAAATAGTCATAGATTAGTTTTGCATCACTGAGTATTCTGCAAATATGAGCACTGTCTCTATGCACCTGGGTTGGTTTAGGGTAGGGGTCAGGCTATACTGAATAGTAATGAAGTATAGTTTGTGATATTAGAACAAATTAGTGTTACCATGGAATTTAAGATTTTATGGTAAAGTCCATGGTAACACTATTTGCTGCAGATTTGGGGAGTTGTTGCCATGAACTTTGATCCCACTGTGTCTCCGAGTATGAATGGCTCTGAACCTGTGTGTCAACATTATCCCTATCTAATGCAGAGAATGCAGTGGAAACAAGGCCACTTACCATATGACAGGAGGTTTAAATGTGGGGTCTTGTTGCATAATTTAGGCAGCAGAGCTTCACTAAATTATGTATCAAATTAGAAATGATACAGCAGAGGTCAGGAGTGGAAAGCTCTCCTCCCAAGAGTTCTGGGGTAAGTACAGACATTCAAAAAGCTGAAGCCTGAATGATACAATCTTTGCAGGTTACTTTAACCTGTCATTATTGACTCCAAGATGAACATGGGCCGACAATGCGAGGTCATGGTTGGCAGGGCTAACCGGACCTTGTCGTGCATCCACAGGTGCATCT